ATAGTAAACTAATACTGTATAATAAACTATTTAAGAAGCAAATTAATAAATTTAAAATGTCATTTATATCAGTGCCAATAGAATATTTTAAATAATAATTGAGAAAAAAGATGTAGCTCCTTGGAATCTAAAAAAAAAAAGATAAAGATCCGTAGAAAAAAATATAATTGAACCAGTTTGATTCAGTGTCACTTACAAATTTGATAGCAGAATGTTAAAATATTTACCTAAATATTAAAAAACTGGAAGGTTAGTAATAATTAAAATAACCTCAAGACACAAAAGTATATAACTATTCATTAAACAAATTTTTTAATTTATAACTAGTAGTAGTACATGTTCCTTAAAAATGACAAATGAATCGCAGTACATACGGTTCATAGCAATGCACAAAAAAGTCTTGCTTGTCACCGATTGTATGACCCTCGACACATGATAGACAATCCCCCGGCGCTGTTTGCTGCAACCTTTTGAACTCTTTTCAGCCATCTATTGACTTTACCTGGACAATTTGGCGGCGTCAAAAGGAGAGGCGCTGCGAGAGAAATAAGCCCGGATATGCACACAGTCATAATGCTCGGCACAAACAGAGGTGAAGCTCTCCTTCGAGCTGGCTTCATTTTCATTTCCATGACACAAGCTGGCAAACAAACAAACAAACAAACAGACAAACAATAATAATAATAATAATAAATGGAGAGGGATAGGGAGAGGGGTAAATCGAGAAATGCATATTTATTTGCTCAAAGTATCTCGGGCAGAGTCTGGTGCCGCTTTTATCGCTAAGCGGCATCGAAATGTGAGCGATATGCATGCATGGATTCTACTTGCTTTTTGTCTTGCCTCCACACTTTTTTCGATCAATTCACTTTTCTGGCTGTTTTTTGCTGCCCCCTCGGCTCTTGTCTCCTATTTGGTTATTTGTTGCATGAGTAATGTACCGTACGCTACCGTTCTGCAGATGCAAATGTATCTGTATCTGTATCTTTGGTGCATATATAAATAGTATTTCAGTTGAACGCACATCCAAAATAGCAAAACGCCGAGCGGGTCGCGTATTGTGTTTCAAAAATGTTGTTAAAGTTGACACAAATCCCGAGGAGAAGCCAAACGAAAAGCCAGCGACGGCCTTTCATCCAGAGATTCATATATGTACATAATGATGAAAAGAGGAACTCTGTGACTCTGATTCTGAAACTGAGAATGAGAATGAGACTGAGACTGATCCCGAGCCAAAAGCCCCAAAGTCGAAGTCGAAATGGGCGACGAGTGTTTCCAGGCGATAGCAGCAAATACATTTTCAATGCATACAATTACTTCCAGCAAACTGCTTGCGAAATTAAAATTAAATTACGTTGCCGGGGCTGATTTCCCGAGGAGAATTCGGCGGATGGGGCAGCAAAGGCGGATGAGACTGACTGGTTGGATGGCCGACTGCAGACGGCAAAGTTCATTCAGTTAAACGAGTGAGTATAGTAGTAGTAGTATGACTTGCTAGTTGACACGAAAGCGGCACAAAGGCGGCACCTATCGGGGGCGGTTGGCAGCACTCGAGAACGTCATTAAGTAGCTAAGACAATCGTGCCAATCATTAAAAATCTTGCCTCAACTAGAGTCAAACGCTCCTGAGTGGCCCCCACTGCAATGCGGATGCTTCCGTTCCGTTCCATTCCACTGCCCCCCATCATCATCGTCGTCATTGTCGTCATCATCTCTGCAGTTATCAACACGTACGCAGACTCAGCTTCAGCTTCAGATCCCGATCCCTCCTGCGAGTCCTGCGAGTCCTGCGAATCCGACCTGTCCAAAGCAGCCCTAACTATGCCGTTAGACCCAGTGGCAGTGCCACTGCGACATACGTTATTCGCTATTCGGTATACGTTATACTTTATACGTTATACGCTAGACCCGAGCGCATGTTTATAGACGCCCTAGATTAGGTCTTTGTCAGCACATTTCGAGTGTGTACTGTGCGGGAGGAGGCGCTGGGCATGTGTAGGCACAGCGGAGGTGAAAATAGTAGCTTAAATAATGCAAGACGTACTGGAAATAATGTGCAATTATCGACTCCATGTTAACGGATCAGAGGTGCATACATAATAATTAACCAACAATTACATTTGATTATTATAAAAATAAGTTTTAAGTAGTTTGCTAAATGAAGCTTTCTCTAAGTTCATTTCTTTTCTTACATTTTGTAATGCAAAAGTTTAATGATTTTTATATTTAGTTTCCATGAATATCACTTTACCTTATTTTGTAAATAAAGAATAGAGAGGATTTGCCACCAATTTATTATGTTTGCAAAGCTAAAGACAGTTTGGAAAGAAACTAAAATTCATATTTTACAAGTATTTATGCTTTTCTCACAATTTTTAAATAGTTAAAAACTTAAATAGGTTGATTTTGAAAAAATATGACTTTTCTAGAGCTATGAAACTGTGAAATAATATACTAAGCGTTATTATAAGGTAGAAAATCCTAAGACGCTCTTTGCCTCCCGAGAAAAAAAGCGATGAAAATGCTGCAATTTCTTGATCTATTTTTCCGACCGCCGGTGTATGTGGGACTGTGTGCTCGAGTGGCGATAGCTGCGAAAAATCCAAAGCATAAGCTTTTGGCGCGAGTGGAAGTGGGAGCCACTTGAGCCGGGCGCAGCCGCTCGTTCTGGTGTTCTGATGTTCTGGTGTTCCGGCCTCTGCCTTCAGCGCCAGAGCTGCAACTTGGCCGCTCGACAGGCACAGCAACAATAATAATACAACTGGCGGTGGCCAAGAGTTGGGGGAGTGAGCTGAGATGAGTGGGCCAAGAAAGAAATAGACGGGCAGGGCATCTCTAAGCTCGGACTTGGGCAAAGCTTGTTTTCTTGCGCTCAAATAGCAGCTAATTGAATTTTTTTCTTTCCCTGCTGGGAAAACAAAGACGCTTGATTTTCGGACTTAACTGGTTAGTAAATCATTGCTTGTGAGCTCACTTCAAAAATATAGTTTTAAATTAAAAAAAAAAAGGTTTTTTCCCATCTAAATTAAAATTTAAAGAAACAAGCCTACTTTTTAACTTAACTTTGCTACCATTTCAGTTAAAAAAAATTGTCTTAAACGATAAAATAAAGAAAAGCACCAGTAACTAAAAATAATTGTGTTTATTTAGGACTTTTAGCTATTGCAAGCTTACTTAAATAAATTTTAATACTTATTAACATTGATCTTAATTCTTGTTAGTCATATGTATGTGTTTAAATCGGTTATGTCTTTATAGTAAGAAGAATCCCTTGAAATAAATGAACAAATAAATATAAAAGAGTTTCATATTTTAAAATTACAACATTAAGACCTTAGTCAACTCACTTCTAAGCCATAAAAACTATTAAATATTCCCCGTCGCATCGCTTTTTGATCGACTCACGTGCCACTCATTGACCCTTCGCTGCAATTTCCATTCCAATTGACTTCTGCTCTGTCGCGAATTCCACCAAAGACAATTTTTTTCGTTGCACTGGGAGCGATTCGTTTTTGGCCCAATGCTGAGTTTCTGTGGGCCCTTTGGCTTTTGCCTAATTTACCAGCTCCATGGGGCCAACTGGCGGCTGCCAAGAAGCGAAAATAAAAATTAAAAAAGAAATAAGACACACTCATCGGACACCGAAATGGCAAAAGATAACAAAAGAGCCGAGCAAAAACACACTCATACCGGGCATTCGTATTGAAGAAGCCATTTGAAAATTTGAAAATTTTTTGGCACAGGTACAGGAAACCGGCCCCCTCCCGCCGCCGAAAAGAAAAAAATGAAAAAAGTAAAAAAAAAAAAAAGAAAACACACACACCAGAATGAGGGAACAACATTGAGAAAGGCTAAAATAAAGAGACAAACCAAAGACCGCATTGACTCTTCAACTATATACGTGAAAGCCCGTGGCTGTGTGTAGATATGCGCTATAGGTTATAATATGTTAGCGTAATGCCGAGTGGCACTCTGATGATGGGCGGAGCCAACAATTTCGCTAAACAAAAAACAAGCCCGCCCGAGCAACAACACAAAGCGACGATATATAGGTACATATATGTGCTATATGGGTTTTTCCCTCTTTTTTTTATGAGCACTGCAGATACTACATATAAGGGCTCCCAAAAGGCAAGCGCATCTTGCCAGACGGTTGCAATCTCTACTTTGCAGACCTTTTTTTTTTTGGAGTGCCATCCAAATTCGGTTAATATGCATGCCGGGCTTTGATGGCAAATGGCAAGTTGCCTTTTGATTAGCCTAATGAAACTATGCGGCAGGAATGGGGCCAATCTCTAGGAGAATCATCCCCAGCCCGCAGTGCTCGTATCTCGGTTTTCGGATCTCAAGTCGTTCCTCAATTGACGTCAAATTCAAATTCGTAAAAGGGAGCAAATCTCAAGCAGTTGATCAATTACAATTTCCAATTTAAACAAAGCCCTGCCATTCGATTCATTGTTGTCGATGTGAAATCACATAAAACACAAACTGAAACCGAATCAATTCGTAGGCCACTCAAATTGAGATACAACATTCAGATGCACACAAATGTACACACATCACCAGATATTGAGAAATCGAAAAGAGGAAATAAAGAAACAAGAAGCCAAAAAAAGGTTTTTTTCTAAGATTTAACACATAACGATAAGGGAACATACTATTGCTTTACATACTTTAAGGAGTGAATAATATTTTTAAGAATTAAATTTGTATATATTTACTTGTTTTGAGCTTAAGCTTACAAATATTTACAGAGAATATTAAATCTTCTAACATGGGACTCCCGATTTTGGAGCCGGTTTTTAAATAGACTTAGTTAAATATAAGAGGCTTAGAAACAACGAAAGATTTGTTATTTTTATGGAAAAATTCCACATTTCCTGGTCACTTGTTAGCGCAGGATTGCTATTTCAATCTCCTACTAATTGACCCCCTTATCCGAACACGTTCATTTTTTAGCACAGATCCACTAATTTTCAGTTAACTTGTTTTTCACTCACCTGGACTTGTCTGCCAACTGAGGCCGCCAATGAACATTTTTCTGCAACGAAAGAGAGCCGAGAGAAGGGAAGTATAAGATAAATGAGGCATTAGCAGTATGTACGAGGCACAAGCAAAAAATTAGATAAATGTTATGGCCTGGCCAAAAGGCAACAAACAAACAGCGAGCTGAGCGATCTTTTATCAGCTCCAACGTCCGGACACTTCCTCAACCTAAGCCACCTTCTGTACTTCGGCGAAGGTGGCTGGCATTGTCGTGGATCTACCGGTTAGCCCATTCCATCATCACCGCCCTCATCGTTATTACCATTATCTCAATCATCATCAGCTGTGGTGGCACTTGCAGTTCCAGTTGCGGTAGCTGCCTGTTGTCTGCTGTCTGCCGTCTTCGTCATTATTTAAATCATAGAAAATAAGCCGCTTTCCCGGCATTGTTTTCATGCTGGAAATCTCACCCACTCACTCCCAGGCTTCCACCCAGTCTCGTTTGTTCCCCCACCTCCCTCCACTTACCCATTTTCCAGCCAGCCGCTGCACCGGCTTATATAACAAACAGAAGATAGTAACATGGCCCTAATTAGAAGGCTGTTCAGATGCACTTCTCATTATGATAAAGTATTAATTTAAGGAAGTTTTGAACTAAATTCGCTAACTATTTGTTATGTAAACTTTTTCTGAAAGGGTTTATTATTTACTTATCCAGACTAGACTAGTTTGATACTAAACTTGGTTGCAATTATATTATACACTTTTTATTAAACTGATCTCCGTAAAGTTTTCAGAGATTTATACTGTTAATTGTTTCTCGAAAGGGGTTTTATAGCAACTTTATTTTCGATAGAGGGATATTACAATCAATTTCAATTCCATTTTTCATTAACAACACATACGATTGTATGTATACAAGCTAATTTAACGAGTAAACAACGCAAAACTAAGCGACAACCCATTTTAAAATGATCTTTTGAACCTTCTTTGACGACAAACTGAGCCCCAAATTGAAATAGGCTCTTCCCCAGGGAAAGCGTGTGGAAAACAAAAGGCAAAGACTGTGCCCGAAACGAAAGTAGGCGGTGGAAAAGCAGTAGGAGTGGGAAAAGCAGCGACGACGACAATGATTATGAAAACTTCAACAAACTGCAAAAGAGCGCAACAGTGGCATAAAGGGAAGTGGACCGGGCTAAGAGGGGGTGGTGGGTCATTGGGCGGCGGGCAGTGGGCGGTCGGCGCGGGTCCGCCGGGGGGGGCGTGTCCAAATGCAGTTGGAGGCAATGTTGCTGGCGACACGAAAACGAATGTAAAACACACACAAAAATGCATAGGAACACAAATTGCAATGAAAAGCGAAATAAAACAAGGCGAAGTGAGAGCGACAGAGAGGGCAAAACTAAATGAAAATGTTAATAAAATGTGCAGCAACAAATGCAACAGCGGCAGCAACAAAAGCGTAAAGTAAGCTAAAAGAAAAACTAAACCGAAGAACGGAAGAAGCGTCAACAACAACAGCTGGAAAGGGGGGTGGTAGGTGGGCGGAAAATGGGCGGGCAGGCGTTGGCAAGGTAAGGCAGAAAGTAACAGCACTGCAGAACCGTTTCGGCCTGAGTTTGCACAGTTCTTCCAATGAAAATAGGCCTCGAATTGCAACTCGACAGGAAACCCAAAACTTTTTGCACGTTAGACGATGCCAAACAATTTGTCATTAATCAATGTTTGGAATTTTCCTGTTCCTCCGCTTTGCTTTGATTTAGGCCTCTGCCTATTGCAAATAATCAATCTTCATGGAAAAGTAGAGACAATAAAAAATATCTGATAAATGGCAAATACATTTTTAAAGCAAAAAGTATTTTTATTTTTATTTTTTCTTTTTAACTTTGAAAACGCGAAACGTATTTCTTTAATAAATAGATAATTAAGATAGAAATAAAATCATCAAAAAGTCGTTTTTTTTATGAGAATTTAATGAAGTTTGTAAAAAGGCAGATTATTGTCTAAAAGGTAATTTGTATAACAACAAAAGTGTTTTCTTTAAACTTTAATTAATAAATATTTAGGTCTAATTCTATGACAATATACTTCATCATTTTCTATATTTTTTTTGGTGGACTAAATCCACTTCTGGAATCGTCTTTGATCAAACACATTTTCATATTCACAGAACCTTAAACAAATGAGTTTTTATGTAGAGAAATAGTGGAAGAGTAACAAACACAAGTATTTCATCGTTTTAACTTGAGGTTTTCGTTCGATTTCATTGCTGAGATCATCCAACACATTTTGGTTTCCACTTTGTCAACCAGGCCTCCTCACCGCCACCCACTGCACCCATTGAAAAGACCCCGCAAAGCCCATCAATTGAAGAATGACGCCGCTGACTGATCCGCAAATATTTGTATTCATTTCATAATAATTCAGCACTGGCAACATTGTCTGTGGGCATGGGGTGCACTGCAGGTGACCTTCGGTCGCAGCATGACTGGGCCCCTCGCCCTCGCCAAAACCCCCCTAAACCACACCTCTGGCCAATTGCAAGTGCACCAAATAAATGCGACCTTGTCCCACACTGAAAATCTGTGCACTGAAGCTCTGGTTTTGCATTGGCTGTGTCCAGCTGTGTGACGCGTAATTGCAGGCAAAATAGAAAAATAAAAAAACATGATAAAACAACCGAAATGGAAAAACATCGGTTGGTGCAGGGAGGGGGGGGAGGGGGAGGGGCTGCGAAAGTGTCAAAGTCAACGTTGAACGCCGAATGCCGAATGCCAAACGCTGTTTTAAAGACTTCAACAGAACAAATTGCACAAGATTACGCATACGCAGTGGTGTCCCTCGTCAACTGTTTTATGTTCCTCGTGCTTCTCATTCATTTTCCCGCGGGTGCCAACTTTGATGACATTTGCCTTTGTCTATCCATATCCCCAGGCTTTGCGATTCCACTACCCGGCTTATGCAGTTTTCGCAGCTATTTACAGATTTCCCACAAGTTCGCCCCCTCAGACAATACTTGGTTGGTTGGTTGGTTGGCTGGCTGGATGGCTGGATGGCTGGTTGACTGGCTGACTGGGTGGTTTAGTGTGTGGCTGCTAAGCCCAGAGTCATAAACAAGTCAACGCAACATGTCCGATTAGTAGAGCAACCACCGACTGACATTTGTCACCCACTGCCTGAGCCTAAGATGCAACTCTAATCTGCACTACGAGAAATAAATCTGTGTGCATATCCTTGTTTATATCATGCAAATAATGGCAAAACGTAAACATTTAAGCAGCTTGTCTCGGAATTAGACGTTTAAGTCCTGCGTTTCTTTCAGTCCACATTTATGGTGCATGATTAAAGAAGATGTTAGGTATATAACACAATTCAAAGAAGTTGTATTTTTGTGTGTGCTTTTCTTCAACTTAAATTCAAATAAATTGAAGGCTTAACGCCTTTGGCGTAAAGATTTTATAAACGGTTGAAAATGTTTCAATTTAAATGCTTAAAATGGAAAAGAATTTATAATAATAAATTTAACAAATCCTTGTTAACATCTGTTGCAGGTCCTAAATTTAGTTATACCGCTCTATTTTACTTTATAGCATACTATGGGAGACAGAAACAGAAGCACTTAACAATGTTTGTTTGATGTTGTTCACATACCAATCAATCAAAGACAACCCATTTTAATCAGAAAACCTTCTTTTTTGAGTGTACTGAGCTTCTATTGCCGCTTTTTGCTCTCTATTCTGCTCAGCTCGGTCACATTTGCTTGCATTACGAAATAATTGTAAAGCGCACGTCACTTTTCTATAGGCCTTCGTCTGTCTATCCGCTCGCTCTCTATATAGCCCATGTTCAACCCCCTGTATCCTCCTGCATCCCCCTATATCCACACCCCCCGGCAGGCAGCACACTTGGGCCATTCATGCGCAAGTCGTCAGCGCCCATTCACGGCCTATCCTAGTCACACACTGGGCGAAAAAACGCCATAAAATATCAAGACTAAACGCTTCATTGAAGATGGTTTAGTTCATGAAGTAATCAGTGTAAGAAAATGTGAGGCAAATCTTGCAAGACGGTATTTATTCATGTTCTGTTAAATCTCTTAATATATTTAAATGGCTATTATATTTTTATAACCAAAACATAAAAATACATTCAAAATAAACAAATGACTCACGAGCCACTAAGCTTAATAATTTAGGGAATGAATAAATAACGTACAATTTGAAATGCACTCAAAGAATCTTGTTCCTAAAATGCTACATTAACGAGTTGAAAATTAGTTTGGTTGAAAAACGTCGTTTGTATTTAGTTAATACAGTTTCTGTGTGATTTTTCATGGTTTCAAATGAATGTTTTGAAATGCTTCTTTCTGTGTGCTGGTTACAGTTGAAGACCCGTGCCCGGACCCATTTCCCGGACCCGGACCCGGACCCGGCTTGGCTAGCTCGGTTTGGCTTTACTCTGGGCTGGGCTTTATACTTGGCGCCCGCCGCTGCCGCTGCCGCTGCCGCTGCCGCTGCCGCAGTCGTAGTCGCCGTTCGCTTTGCCGCTTGTTTGCCATTCAAAATCCGTTCAGACTTTGTATGCACCATCAAGTGTTGCCCTCTCGCTTCTGCGTTACATTTGCATATAATGCTATCTCTGTCCGCCTTTCTTTCACCATTTCCCCACCCCAACACCCTGTTTTCCCAGCCCTTCATCTTTTCTCTCTGTGCACTAGTTGACGTTTTCTATTGTGGCTTCATTGTTGAATAGAAAAATGTGCAAAATAGTAACGAAAAAAAGAAAATAGCAAAACAGCTACCCCTCCTTTTTCGCTACCCCCCTCTTTACCACACGCATGCCTCTTGTTCGGCTTACAACTCCCCTAAAACTCCCCTTCTCTGTCTACACAGAGAAAATATTTTTCCGCCATTTGGACCAAAATTAAAACGTTTGCATTTTACATTACTGCCATGACAACACAAAAAGTTTACTTTCAACATATTCTGAAATGCTGCAAAAATCTCTGTTTTATAAAATCTTTCGGTTCTCATAATTAAGAATCAAATTGTTGGG